TCCACCACTAGTCCCTCTTGCAGGCCCTCCCACTGTGCTCACCCGGAGCTCAGTTTCACTCCGTCCTCACTCCTGAACCTGGACTCCTGCACCTCTGGGTAGACCAGCTTGGAGAGGGCCAGAGCACAAGGGGCGGCCATGACAGAGGCGGCGATCAAGGAGGCGGCGTCAATCTGCGAGAGTGAGAGTGGGGGTCATGGGGGGGACATGTGGGGGTCGAGAATGCAGCCCAGGGCAGCAGGAGCACTGGACTCAGCCCCACTGGTGTGTCACCATCGTCAGAACTGCTGCCACCGTTATTAATTCCAACACCTCTCAGAAGCAGAGGCTCACAGGCTATCATGTGCAGGACCTCATATTGTCCCCAGTGGGTCTGTGAGTCAGGCAGGATGGGTGCAGCTGACCCTGAACAAGCTGAGTGGGGTTAGGGGTACCGACCCCCCGCATAGTCAGAAATCTGCATATGCCTTTTGACTCCTCCAAACTTAACTACTAATAGCCTATTGCGGACCAGAGCCTTACCAACAGCACAGCCAGTTAACAGATATTTTGTATGTTGTATGCATTTTATGCTGTATCCTTACCATAGAGAAAAGGAAATATTAAGAAAATCATAAAAAAGGGAAAATGCGTGTACAGTATTTGTTGAAAAATCTCTGCATACAAGTAAGTGGACCAGTGCAGTTCAAACTCACGCTGTTCCAGGGCCAAATGTAGTGCTGGACAGCGCAGGTCTAGAAATACCCAGATATCAGCAATCGGAGGGTGCAGGGCAAAGGGAGTGAGCAGCTGAGCAACAAAGAGAAGGGAGGAGGAAGCAGGGGGACCTTCCTGGAATCCAGGGGCTGAGGGCAGCGCCAGGGACAAGGTGAGCAGGTGCCTGGGGGGAGCGAAGGTCTAGAGGCTGCTGCAGTGGCGGCCAGAGGCCAGGTGGGGGCAGACGAGAGCTGCTTGGAAACCAGAGCTGCTCTGTTAGGAGCTTTTCGCTTGGGCCAGCTGCTGGTAGCCTTGGGGCTGCCAGACCCACCACAGGCTCTGGATAGAGACCCACGGCCACCTGGCTGATCCTGGCAGCGTCTGCACAGCCTGCAGAGCGACAGGGAAGTGGGCACAAAGGCCCCTCCAGTGGGGAGGCCCTGCTGCCTGGGGTGAGCTGGACTCCTGACTGGAGAGCAGGACCNCCCCTCCAGTGGGGAGGCCCTGCTGCCTGGAGCAGGACCAGTTAGTTGCAGGCAGATTGTGGAAAAGGGACAGGGTTCCTCCAGGATTTCAGTCTTAAGCAGCAGCCACGCTCATCAGCAGAAAGAATAGCACCCCTTCCCCCCCACCCCCATTGTTTTTCAGAGAGAGTGGGAGGGGGAGACACAGAGAGAGAAACATCGATGTGAGAGAGACACATCGACTGGTTGCCTCCTGCACTCGCCCCAATCAGGGCCGGGGATCGAGCCTGCAACTGAAGCACGTGCCCTTGGCTGGAACCCAACCCAGGACCCTTCAGTCCTCAGGCCGACGCTCTAACCACTGAGCCACACCCACGAGGGCGAGAGGCCTTCTTGAAAAGCTGCGCAGACACCTCTCTGCCCGGGCAGATCTGTGGGATGTGGGGCTGAGCTCACTAGAGCAGCCCAGTGTCCTGAGGGAGGAAGCCCACCCCTCGGCCACCCTCTCGGACAGAGATGAGAAGTGGAATTTGGGACCTGAGAAGAGGACCGTGGGGGTCGTCCCGTCACGCCCTGACCCATACACATGCAACATCAGGGACAGTGAAAGACAGGCCGTGTACCTCACTCGAGGTACTCAACGGCGTGGCACTGGACCGAGAGTCACTCAACTCACCCTTTACTGCTTGACATTTAGGGTGTTCCTTGTTTTGTTTTTCTAGTGCAAATAATAATGGACTTTTGCATTTTTTGACCACTTGGGGAAATATTTCTGTATCATAATATCCCTAACTGGATCAAAGGGAAGTATTTAAAAACAGACTGATAGATGTTTTCTGAGAGGGTTTCAGCAAATTACCCCCCCCCAACAGGTGTGTGTTCCTACCCCAAAGGAGATGTAGGCACCCAGCAGGGAGCCGGCAATGGTGGCGTAGCCTCCGGTCATGACAACGTGGATTTCAGAGAGGGTCATGTCTTCCAGGTAGGGCCGGATGAGCAGAGGAGCCTCGGTCTGCAAGCAGGAAAGATGTCAGATAAACAGAACTGGCCAGGCCGACACAGGTGCCTGGGGAGCTCCCTCCCAGCCCTCCCCAGGAGCCCGCAGGTCATAGCGAGTGCTGGGGGTTCCAGGGGGAAACAGCAGGTGGGGTGAGGACTGCGGTCAGTGCTTCACGGAACCTCTCTAAACATCAGTTTCGGCCTGGCTCTGTGCAAGGACACACACCTCGCCCTGCCACTGGGCCTGATAATGCTCCCGTGTCACCTGCCCACCACGTTCAAGCACCCCACCACGTACCTCATGGTTGTCACTCATAACCTTCTGAGAAAGAAGAGATCACCCCCATTTTTCAGGAGAGCAAACAGAGGATGAGAGAAGTTCAAAGAATGACCCCTTTTCATGCAAAGGGCTTTTAATGAAGCCTGGGGGTTGCCGGAAAGAAAGGCACGTCTATCTTTTGGGGACTCAAATATTGGACAGATGAGCTGGGATCCTGGAAGGTCTGCAGAGATTCACCTCAGGAGGGCCAGGCCTCCTGAAAGGGACACAGGCCTGACGGTTCCTTCAGAGCCACCTTTACTTTGAAAAATACATTTTCAGAAAGAGGAAGGAAAAAAAGAAAAGAAAAAAATGTAGTGGAAAGAACCCTGGTCAGGAAGGAAAAATGGGACTCTAAGTCTTGGATCATCTTATGGGGTCTTAGTCATTCCCACCCCTGAGTCTCAGTTTCCTCATGTACAAAGGGAGCAAGTTGGGCTCCATCGCTAGGGTTTGTGTGTCTCTAAGCTGATGAAGGCAGCCTGGGCCTGGAGCAGTACGAGGTGCCAGACAGGCACCACCCTCCCTGGCACGGCCCAGATGTGCGTCTCTGGGGCAGCCGCCTTTGGTGGCCCTGGGAGAAGGCCCGAATGGCTCTCCCACCGCCTGAAGCAGAGCTCCAGGGACCCGGGGCAGCTGCCTCCTCGGGGGGCTGCCAATGAGCACGGGGGTGGGAGGAGGCAGGACGCACCTGGCTCACAAAGATGTTTCCAGCCACACTCAGGGTCTCCGTGGCCGTGGTGCCCATGGTGACCTGCATCAGCCAGGCAATCTGGAAGCAAGCAGAGTGCTCTCTGTGGGCCGGCATCAGCAAGCGCCAGAGGCAGACAGAGCCAGGGGTGGAATTACCTTACAAGTCTTCCAACTCCCACCCAGGTAGGCCCCCCTCACTTACGTTTCATCCAAAAGGCCCATTCAGCTTCCCCCCTCTAAAACTCCACTGATGGGGGCTTACCACCCATGAAAAAAGGGTTCCTCGTCAAATATATTAGAGAGTTACTGTACAGATACACCTTGGATAACTAATACATATTAGCTCAGGGAAGGCTCTGAGAAGTCCCACGCGAAACTCGTTTAAATTTGTTAGCTTCAGAAAATCATTTGACCGTGAGATCCCTTTACCTAGTCATGTTTATTAACCTGCTATGGAAATAGAGTTTCTTGCAAAAAGCTTTGGAAACACTGCATTAGAAAGTCTTGCTTTCAATCCAGGTGAAATCTGTTTCTCTGGAATTCCTCCTCGCTGCTGGTATCTCTCAGGCTGCCCCTTCCCTAATTTTCTGGAAGTGTTTGGAGACAGCTGTCCTACTCCACCCTGGCCTTGTCTTCCCCAGGCCCATCATTCCTGCAGCTGGTCTATGGAGGGTATGGTGTTCGGCCCTTTCACTCTCCCACAGATGGATCAGTTTGTCCCAGCCTCTGGTTAAATTCTCCAGATTTAGGTGTCATTGCCTCCCCCATGCCGCACTCTGGGAACTGCCGGCATAACCACAGGCAGTTCTGCACTCCAGGCCCCCACCTTATGGGATGGGTTTATTCTGCGCTCAGTCAGCTAAAGCTCAGAATCCTTTGCCAGGTCCAATGTTGTCTCCTGAGTCCTGGCTTTGTGCAGCAGGTTTTATGGCGATAAGCACAGGATTTGGCATTTACAACGGCTAAGTCTGGCCAACGTCGCCCCCTGCTCCAGACTCGCGAGATCCTTTCGGTATAAACTATCTTTTCCTCTAACATTTCTTCTCAGTGCAGCCTCAATTCTACAAACTTCCTTCCCACCAAGATTCCCTTGGATTTGGGTGCCATTTCTGCTTAGTATCATGACAAGAGACTCTGTGAAAAGATGTTTGGTTAGCAGTAGATCTGAGAAAGTGTAGACCCTGGGAGCAGGGGATTCGGGGAGTGTCCAGGCTCTCAGAGCTGGGGCTTGGGGGAGGGTTTGCGCTCTGGGAGCAAGGTATTCTGGGAGAGGGCGAGCCCTGGGAGCAGGTGTCCCTGGGAGGGCCCAGGCCATGGCATTGGGACTCACCTTCAGGATCAGCCACTGCATGAGGCCCACGTGGTACAGAATCGACATGACACAGCTGAAGAAAACAATGATGGGCAGGACCTGCCAGGAAAGAGCAGGGGCCCCGGATTAGAGGCAGGCGGGTGGCGGGGGACCAGGCAGGGCCCCAGAGACATGAGACAGCCCTCTCCCACCGAGGCTCTGCCACTCAGAGGCCTGGCAGGGTCAGGGAAGAGCTCAGAATTTGGGGCTCGTCTGCACAGAAGTACAGTCTAGGCTGAGGGGCGGGCAGATGCAATTCAAAGGAAACTGCCCTGAGTGAGAAGAGCAGTGACGAAGGCCAGGGCCCAGGGGTTATTGTCACTAAGAGGTGAGAGGGCAAGGAGCAGTGCATGGAGGAGGCAGAGGAGAAACAGGGAGGCTGGAGGGAGTCCAGGAGACCAGGGCAGCTGTGCCAGGTGCATGAGAGGTCTAGAAAAACAAGGACTGAGGCTGGCCCTGGGCTCCTAGCGACTCAGCCTCCCTGGTGGCCTAGGTGAGAGAGTGTCAGACAAGGGGTGGGGACAGAGGCCGCGGTCAGTGAGCCACGGAGGAGTGGGACAGAAAGAAGTAGAAACAGCAGAGCAAAAGCAATGTGGAGAGGCCTGGCTGTGTGGGAAGGATGAGGGGCTGGAGCCGAGAGGGGAGGAGAAGGGCTGCTTTTGGTTTTAAGAAGAGAGACTAAAGCAAACCAATGTAGGCTCTGGTTTAAAATGCTTGGGGGTGACAGAACGGCCCCCCGTGAGAACAGAGACTGCCCCGGGCAGCTGCCCTGGAGATGAAGGCTGCGGGGTCTATCTGGACCTGCTCCACTTGACATCTGTCACCCCCTTCGCTGCAGCGGGGGGTGTCACCTGACAGGGAACACGGGCACTGGCTGGACAAACCCTTTCCTGTCCCGTGACTCCCCCTGACTGCCTGGTGCTGGGCACGCCCCAAGCAGGAGGGGTGCTGACATCATTCCGCTGTCCCCTGGAGTAAAACGCACCAAGGGTCACGTACTGTCTAGATAGCGTGTCCAATGTATCCTGCGAGGGGATGGCTCCGCGGGCTGGCAGGGCCGCAGAGGAGGCCGGAGCCAGGGGGGAGAGTGCCCGGGCGTTGGACCCGACTGCAGCAGCCAAGAGACATTTTCTCTCTGTGGGATGGGCATATGGTGGAAGGGAAGCTGTGTTTTGGATTAAATGGTGACTGTCTGGGGTGGGAAGATGGATGGAAGAGAAAAGAGGTGGCCCCGATTTTCTAAGGGGGGATATTTATTTATTTATTTATTTATTTATTTATTTATTTATTTTAATCCTTACTCCAAGGGTATTTTTTCCGTTGCTTTTCAGAGAGAGTGGAAGGGTGAGAGAGAGAGACATCGATGTGAGAGAGACACACTGATTGGTTGCCTCCTGGGACCGGGGCCGGGGATCGAGCTTACGACCGAGGTATGTGCCCTTGATAGGAATCGAACCTGGGACCCTTCAGTCCGCAGGCTGACGCTCTAATCACTGAGCAGTACCAGCCAGGGTGGGACATTTAATACTAAATAAGGCCCCTGAGGCCAGTACAATCTCCCAGCCAGGGAACTTCACTGCACAAATGGGGACACTGAGTTTGGGTGATGTTGGTTACCTGCCCAAGGGTCACAGACCTGCAAAGAGACAGAGCACCCCCTGCCTGGCTGCCAAGACCCTGCCATGACCCTGAGGAGCTCTGCTCTGTGCCAGCCCCGGGGCCTCACCTCTCTGTCTTCAGGGGCAGCATTCATCCCCTCCACGGGGCAGCCTGAGCCCAGGGTATAGCTGCCCCAGTAATCCTGACCACTGCTTTGTGGAAACTCAGAGCAGGCTGGGCTTGCTAGTAGCAATATTCACCTTTAACTCAGGGGAGATGTACCTTCTAGCTCCTCTCAGCCAGTGGTTCTCAAAGTGTGGTCCCTGGACCAGCAGTATCTCCCGAAAATTCATTAGAAGTGTAAAATTTGAGCCCCACCCCCAGTTTCAGATTCAGGATGTCCTGAGAATCTGGCCCCTCTAGATGCTGCTGCTGCTGCTGGGCGGGACACCACACACTGAGAGCCACACCCGCCAAGCAGACCTCCCGTCCTCACCAGGAAACAGGTCCCAAAGGCAGGACTAAATCTATGTGGACAGGACCCTGCTGCTTCTGCTCCCTGGGGGGAGCTGAGCCAGGGCTGGTGATGACTTCCTGAGGCTGTCTGGGCCAACGCTCACCGCCCCAGCCTCCACAGCCCAAGCCCAAGCGCTGCAGACAGAGCCCTGTCACCAGCCCCAGGCAGCAAGGAACCGCAATGACCCAAAGCCAGAAGATTCCTGAGACGTAACTGCTGCGACACCACCAGCATTACAGAAAAGGAGGTAAACTGGACATGCCTCTGGACTTCCTGCTGACCTCACCTCCCAGCTCCTTAGGCCTGCCTCTGCCTGTCCTAGTCTCCTTCAGAGACCTCTGTGGGGGCCACGCTCTTACAAGATCTGTCCTAGCTCAGTTGTCCCATCTCCCTCCTTTTCCATTCCAACTTGGTCTTCATTTACTTCCCAGCCCTTCCCTTGAAAATGGTGCTGCCCAGGGGGTGTGGCTCAGTGGCTGAGCCTCGACCTAGGAACCAGGAGGTCGCGGTTCGATTCCCGATCAGGGCACAAGCCCGGGGTACAGACTCCTCGATCCCCAGCAGGGGGCGAGCAGGAGGCAGCTGGTCAATGACTCTCATCATGGATGTTTCTCTCTCTCCCTCTCCCTTCCTCTCTCTGGAATCAATAAACACATATTTTAAAATAATAATAAGAAAATGGTGCCAAGGTAACCAGTGGCCCCTTAATTACTAAATCCAATCTGACCTTTCAGTCCTTATCTTACTCGGTGTGTTTTCTGTCCTTATTTTACTTTTCTAATTTGATTTCTTTTTGCAAAGTGTGGCACCGTTGCCCGTTGGGGATTGAAGAGGCTGCCTGGGGCAGATACTCCGAAAGCCCTGGGAGATGAGCACACTTTCCCTCACCCCAGGGGTTCTTCAGGAAGGCGGTGTGAGCAGCACTGCAGAGCTGAGGAAGTGGCTGCATGTTGGCGAAGGAATGAGGGAACTCGAGCTCCAGGTCAGCCAGACCCGGGAAGGATGTGGGAGCCTGGGGTCGGGGAGGCCCTCGTGTGGGTGGAAAGTTACCAGGAGGGAGAGAGAGCCAAGGTGCAATGACTCATCAAAATGACACAGCCAGGAGGCAGCTGCCACATCAACTGTGCCGCACTCCAGGCTGGGGGGCGGGAGCTGAAGAAGCCTCCTTCAGAGACTCGGCTTCCTGGAGGAGCCATGAGCTGATTGCGGCCCAGCAGGAAGCCGCTTGGATTCTGAAAATCTGAGGGAGCTCGGAGGAGATTTCCCCCGGCTGACAGGGGCCAGAGGCCTTGGACTAGGGCCACATGATTCATGGAAAGAGGAAAAGAAAGCTCCGGAGTCCTCTCTGTGACTCAGCAACAAAGCCACTCCCACACTGAGGACAAGTCTCCAGCCTGGCCAGTGTGCGTGTGTGTGCGTGTGTATGTGTGCATGGGTGCATATATGTGTGTGTATGTGTGTGGGGGTATGTGTGCATGCGTGGGGGTATGTGTGCATGTGTGTGTGTGTGTGTGTCAGTGCATAATGCAGGGAGCGGAGCTGTGAATGAAAATTTGTGCTTAGTGTATCTTGTGAGAGAGCGAATTCTGTGGCCATGGAGCATTTGCCTTAAGTCTTCCCTTACCTGACCCATCTTTGCTCAGAAAGTCACTGGCTCATCCACTGACCAGGAGTTTGTCTATAGGATAGGGCCTCGCAGGGGCCAGGGAACAGTTAGTGTTTGGCGGGGAAATGCTGAGTCTGGTTAATGACAAACCCACCTCCCTTGTTTTTTCTCTCTTGACAGAACATCCGATCTCGAAATCTTTAGCATGGATGTGATTGAAATGCGTCCTTCCGCAGTTAGGTGTGCTCTCTGGAACGGAGGCATGATTTTACTGACTTCTACTTAGACTAGGAAAGGAAACATCACTTGACTGGAAGTTCAGTGACCCAGCTCTGGGCTTGGCTCTGCCCTCACTCACTGGGCCGTTGTGACCAGGTCACTGCTCCTCTCTTGGCTTAGTGTGACCACCAGGAACATAAAGGGGAGACCCAGGACTGCTGAGCAGCCTCATAGCCTGGCGGTGTATGAATTCATGGTTCTAAAGGGTGGTTAGGGGAGAGATGCAAGGGGCAGACGTGTGGGTGTTTTTCCAGAAAGGGAGAGAAGGTGAAGAGCGCAGTGAACGTAAGTGGAACCACACTGTGGAGCTGAGCAAGGCCACACCCCTCCCAGGGCCTGAGGCTGAAGCATCATTAGCTTCAAGGACTCCCCCACCCATGCCCAGGCCTGGACCACACAACTTGCTCTGACTCCCCCGCTAGCTTAGCCAGAGGTATCTGGCCTGGCAGAGTTCAAGAAAGGCCTCATGGGCTGAGAGTCAGCTGACCTGAAAAGCGAACACATCCTTGACCAGAGTTTCCCCAAACACGAAGCTGGAGCCGGCCTCGGTGTAGCTCAAGAAGATCTGAAAGGATTGGAAACAAAGCAAAACAAAATCCACAGTGAGGCCAGGAAGGAAGGAGGGAGGAAACGGGCAGGAGGGGGGCTGGAGGGATCTCTGCGGCCTTCCCCACAGCCCGTGGGGAGAGAGGACACCGAGGCTATGAGCCTCCCGCCTCTGGACAGGTTGGTCCAAGGACTAGTCCCCCCCCCCCAGGCCTTGGCCTTATAGGGGCTGGAGCAGCACCTGGCAGCATGTGGCGTTAAAGCCTCATTCACGGCCACTCTCTTATGCACACCCTTTTGATAAATTTTAAAGAAATGCTAGGAGATGAGAGTGGTTTCTCCATTCCCTGGTGCCCAAGATGCTGGGGGCCGCCCAGGCTCCATGCACACACCTGGATCTGGTTGCCCAGCCACTGGAATGCAATGAATCCAGGTTCTGTCCTGATGACAAGGAGTCCAAGTACAAACTGTAGCCCAAGACCCCAGGACACGGCTCGCCAAGATACCTGCCACCAACGTAGAAAGGTCCTAGTGAGCTTAGCTCCTGGGGGGCCCACAGGGAGCAGGGTGGGGTGAGAGCAGAGGGCATGGGACTGCTCTGAGGGGCTACCGGGCTTTGGCCTATGGGATGGGGGCTGGACCTGGCCAGAGGTCTGGACCTACTTCAGGTGGTCACATCCTTGGATTTCATCATAGGCCACGCTCTTGGCAGCAATGAGCCTGGGGCAGTTAGCAGGAGTGGACGAGATCTAACCGAGGACCTGTGTCAGCCTCAGCCAGCCTTGAGCATGCCATGGCATTTGGTCCTGGGTCATTGCTGGGTGGGCAGAGTTGTGGCCTCAGGGTCTAGCCTCAGTGTAGCCTCTGTCTGCCTGGAGCCTCCCCCCATCCCTCCTCCATAGGCAGGGCCCTCAGCTGTCCTAACCCCACTCCATCAATGGCCCCACTCCAGCAGTGGGGAGCTGGACCCCTCTTAGGGGTGATCGCTGAACTCAGATGTGCAGCAGGATCTCTGGGAGACCTGGGTGGAGCCTGGGGAAGGTATTGGCCACTCTGTGAATATTGGGGTGGTTGCCCCACTGAGGATGCAGAGGGAGAGAAGGGGCTGAGACCCACTCATGCCTGACAACTAGGCACTCACTGCGCAGTGATGCTTTGAGCAGGCAAAGAGGATGCTGATAAACACACAGATTCCCGCAAAGGACACCAGCTGCTCGGGCCGCTGGGCGGTGTCCAGAGCCAGCCACAGGACTAGGCCCAGGATAGCAGTGAGGGCTAGACCCCTGCAGGGGAAAGGCAGGAGGACCTCACCCTCAGCATCTCCCCAGCCCCACGCAACAGATCACCAGGGAAAGCCCACTCAGAGCTGGCAGGAGTAGAGGGAGCTGTGTGACCTTAGGCAAACCACCTGCTCTCTCTGAGTCTAATCTCACTGGGAAAAGGAAGCCTAAGACTCCCCATTTCTCAAGGTTGGGAGACAATCTGTGGATTGTCTTTTCACCCTCTTGATGGTGTCCTTTGAATCAACAAATGTTTAGTTTGTATATAGTCTAATTCATCCGCATGTATTTTTAAAGAAAACGTTGTATCAAGGCCTCAAATAGAAACCAGTGCCAGTGATTTGTCATAACTAGAGGACGACGGTTAAAAATAAACCCTTTTGTAAATCGGCTTAATAAAGGGGAGGCAAAAGCAAACCTATTTGTAAATAAGACCAAAAATGTGTTCATCTAAGGAAACTGGTGTGAAAACCAAGGGATCCCAAACCGTTGTTCAGGGACTTACATCAAAATCCCTGGGGGCCACCTAGAAGTAAAGACACCTGGGCCCATCCAGCCTGCTGACTCGGACTCCAGGGGTGGTCCCCGCAGCCGTGTGTCTCACACGCGTCTCAGGGGATCTGACAGGAGGCACTGACATGGACCCTCCCTGCTGGGCTGGGCTGGCATCTCTTACTTTGGGAAACTGCTGAGCCCTGTCCTCTGCTGTCACAGTCACCTGTTGTAACTGGGGCGGAGAACCAGACAGGTACTGGCAAATCTCCAACGACTGCTGCCACCTTCGAAGCCACCCAGCAACGCTTGCCTTGGGGCTTTCAAAAGGCAAGCAGGGTGGGGTATGTTCCCCATGGCACAGGACCTGTCTGGCGGGACGGACTGAGGCCCTCCTCACCCAGCTTTGGCTGTGACCCCAGAGCTGACTCAATAGGCCCTCAGCCGATGTGCCCGCCTCCTTCCCACCCCGCCCCACCTGGGGGCTGTGAGCTCACTCACCTCTTAAACCAGAGGTTCAGGCGGGAATGCCTCAGAGGCCTGACACACCTCAGCAGTTTTGGCCCCAGCAGCCTCTTCAACAGGCTGTGGGCCAGGAAGGCCAGGACCACACAGGTGAGAACAAACAGAGCCAGGGCCCTCTGGAAATTCAGGAGGCAGGCAATCAGCAGGAAGGCGGCGTATGCTGGGAGTAGGTGGGGAAAGTACAGAGCGGGGTCAGTGATGATGGCATAGGCCCCTGCAGGCCCCTGCAGCTCCGCCTTCTGGCTCCACCACTCCATCTGGAACTTGGAGGGTGGGGATTTCACCCAACACCTCTGAGCCTCGCTTTCCTTACCTGCAAAGGTCAGTCACCCCTCCCGTGCTGGAGGGTTGTTATAGTTAACGGACACGTGGTGTTTAAGGGCTCTACAGACTGTCCGCGCGAGCAAATGTGAGCGAGGGCATGTGTTAGGAGGAAGCCAGAGAGCAGGAATTTCCCAAGCATCAGAGGAGTGGCTGTGTGGCCCTCCCGGCCCACAGTGGCTGAGCATCAGAGTCCCGGACCTAACTAGGTTCCACGCAGGACAGAAAGGAGTAAGTCTGTTACGCCGGGAAGGTGTATGCTCACTTGTGCCCAGATCCCATTCGGAAATATTGAGCAGTGACCATTTTCTTCTTGGAATCTCCTTTCCCCCCTTTGCCCTTCTCTCCTCGGGGAGCTAACCCAGCCTGTGCTACGCCCCAAGAAAGGAAAGTGATAGCAGATAGCAGAGGGGGAAATCTCTCTTCCTGGCTTATGAATTTCAAAAGCCAGGGCCCAAGAACACTGGAAAGGACGTGCAGCCTTTCCATTAGATAAAAAGTGCAGGATCAGCCCAGCGGCGTGGCTCAGTGGTTGAGCATCGACCTATGAACCAGGAGACTGCAGTTTGATTCCAGGTCAGGGCACATGCCCAGGTTTCGGGCTCCTTGATCCCCAGCAGAGGGATGTAGGAGGCAGCCGATCAATGACTCATCATTGATGTTTCTCTCTCTCTCTCTCCCTCTCTCTCCTCTCTCTGAAATCAATAAAGATGTATTTTAAAAATGCAGAATGAAACATTGTAAGTGTGAGCTCTACATCACCCCCTCTGCTACCAGACTACTTGGAGGACACTAGTTGGCGGGTCCCTTGGCTTTCTCCCACCCTTATGTAAACTTCCTCATGTTTCCCTCTTTAATCTCAAATGCATAAAAGAAGCTGCAGACTATTGTGCTCAGAAGTTTTTTTCTCAGTCTCAACGAGCTCTTGCTTTCAGGTACATCCTCTGTTTGGCTCAAACAAAGTATAAAAATTCTCCACAGGTTCAAATGTTCTCACTTCAACACAGCATCAGCCCTTTCCCATCTGTCCAGCCTTGTCCTTTGGCTCCTGGTCTCGAGCATTAACCTCTGGACACACTAGACTGCTGACCAGCTCCCTGTCCACACCCTGCCTGTTTCCACCTTTGCTCCTGGGGTTCTTCTGCCCAGAGCACCCTCTCACTCCTTATCATAGTTCCCCTACACCTGGCTAACTCCTGCTCAACCTATGAGACTCAGGTGCCACCTCCTCCTGGAAGTCCTCCCTGATTACCCCATCCCTCCTTGGTGCTCCCAGAGGGCATGCTGCACGATGTGCACATAGTGGTTGCCCTCTCCCTTACTAATTAGAGTGCCCCCGGAACAAGATCTGGTCCACCTTCATTCTGATGACCCTGCTTCTGGCATGGGAGCAGCCCAAGTTGATACTCAACAAAGCTCTGCTGAATTATTGGGTAAGTGAATGACCCTGCCCTGAGACATGGATGGCTGGGCTGGAGGTG